AGTTTTCGAGATATTTGACTGGATCACTTCAGATGGTCCACCCTGTATATATACACTTTTAAGCTGTAAAATATTCATGTACATACTTCTCTACAAAAATTGACCCAATCAATAATCGTGGGCAAAGACAAGCCAGTGTCCAATGTCAAGAATTTCACACGTGGTGGTGGGAATGTAATGAAGTAAGCTACAATTCTGCAAATTATGCTCACATCTATGGTGCTATTACTAAACCACGTTCCCACTTTAGCACTTCTCTCAAATCTGCATTGTTCTCTCACACGTTTCTTATGAGCATTCTTTGCAGAACGAGATTTTCGACATAGAAACATTAAATTTTCCTTGTTTAAAGTAACGACACTTCCATATTGATCACAATTTGCTTCAGATGATAACATACCGTGTTCTATTGATAATCTATCAATCTATTGTTGCTGTACGTGAGATTGATAAATGTCGATAACATTGTTACATGCGATATGTTATGTACATACGTATCGGATAGGGACCATGCCACAAGTAGAAACAAGTGAATATTTCGAATTTCGTATTCTATCACAATAAGTATCGAATACGCATGCGCACATGAGCATAGAGCATGAAAATGTGACCACTGCACATGCTCATGCAGTGCATTATTGTGCGGTCGACAGATTTCCTAACCTGAATAGTCGTCAACTTTAACGTTAAATATCTCGGTTTGCGGGGCAGAGCGACACTTTTATCTGCCAGATTCATTCGTTTACAAAAACGCATCGATTGAGTATATTTTTATCAAAATTTGAGATGAGCGGGCTATTCTTAATATTTACCAAATAAAAGTCAAACCCATCAATTAGAGGAAATACTCAGTACAACATGGCAGGATAAGGTTATGATCTCACAGTTGGAACAAGGTGAACAAAGAGATAAATTCGTTACGCGACTACAGGTAAATGATAAAGAAATAGATTTCGAAATAGATAGTGGAGCTGCCGTGATTATTGCAAATAAAGCTCAAATGCTCAAATTGTTCCCAAATTCGACCATACATCCAACTAGTTTACAATTAATTACTTTTTGTAAAAACACGTTGCAAACGTTAGGTTTTATTACAGTAAATGTTAAATATGAAAATGTACGACGTAAATTGAATATTTACCTTACAAATTTAAATAGAAAACCGTTATTAGGTCGTGAATGGCTACGCCAACTTTTACATCATATAGCTCTAAAAGAATTAACATTAAGTACCCATTCAGAAGAATTACTAATGACAGATACGAAACAACAATTAGACAATATCTTACAAAAATATAAAAAAATTTTCGAAGTAAACCTTGATTCTATTAAAGATAAAAAAGCTAGATTAACGTTAAAGAATGATACACAACCTACTTTTCTCAAACACCGTACAGTTCCTTTTAAATTGTTGCCTTTGGTAGAAAAGGAAATAAAAAAATTTAGAAAACGCAGGAATTCTGGTAAAAGTTGATACTTCTGAATGGGCTACACCCATAGTACCAGTCCTAAAAAAGGAAGGAAAAATAAGAATATGCGGAGACTATAGCGTTACACTCAATCCTAACTTAATAGTGGATGACCACCCTTTACCTACAATTGATGAACTTTTTGCTAAAATGGCAGGTGGAACATCTTTTTCAAAAATCGACTTAAAACAGGCATATTTACAGTTAGAGGTTAGGGAGGAAGATCAAGAGTATCTTACGTTAAACACTCATCGAGGATTATATAGACCTACGAGACTGATGTACGGAATAGCCTCTGCACCGGCGATCTGGCAACGAGAAATTGAGAACATTTTAAAAGATATTCCAGGAGTTACAGTCTTTTTGGATGATATTAAAGTGACAGGTACAAATGATGCGGAACATTTACACAGATTAGAACTAGTTTTTCAACGATTGCATGAGTATAATATAAAAGTCAATCTAAAGAAAAGTGAATTTTTTGTGGATAAAATAGAATATTGCGGATACATAGTAGACCGGCAGGGAATACACAAAGATAAAAAGAAAATAGAAGCAATAAAACTTATGCCAATTCCAAAAAACGTGACCGAAGTCACAGCATTTATAGGGTTCGTGACTTATTACAGCCGTTTTATTAAAAACCTCAGTACAATTTTGTATCCATTGAATAAATTATTACGGAAAGAAACTCCTTTTTGTTGGACTCGAATGTGATATTGCTTTTAAAAAGGCAAAAGAAGCTTTTCAAAGTAACGAGGTATTAGCTTACTATGATCCAAAATTACCACTAATTTTAGCTACTGATGCCAGTTCTTACGGTGTATGGGCTGTTTTATCGCACAGATACCCTGACGGAACGGAAAAAGCGATACAATACGCGTCATGTACATTAACTGATACACAAAAAAAATACGCTCAAATCGATAAAGAGGCCTACAGTATAATTTTTGGAATAAAAAAATTTCACCAATATCTGTACGGAAACAAATTTATACTTTACACTGACCACAGACCGTTAGTTCACATTTTCGCCCAATCAAAAAGTTTACCGGTATATAGTGCAATGCGTATGCAACACTATGCATTGTTTCTACGTAGTTTCAATTATACAATTAAATATAAGAATACAAAATTACATAGCAATGCAGATTGTCTGTCTCGATTACCAATCGCAAAACTAGAAAGATACGAGTACGATGTAGTCGATACATTTCAAATCAATACGATTCAATCCCTACCAGTTACATTTACAGAATTAGTTACAGCTACTAAACAAGATACACATTTACGCAAAATACTAGAAGCATTACAAAGCAGTAAAAAAATTGATAAAGAAAGTAAAACATGCATTAATGAACTAGAGTATAGCTTACAACAAGGGGTAATTTTACGCGGACACCGAGTAATAATACCTAAAGTATTACAAAAGAGAATATTACAAGAATTACATAGTGTGCATTTCGGTACCGCGAAAATGAAAATGTTAGCCCGTGGTCATGTTTGGTGGTCCGGCATAGACACCGATATAGAGCAAATTACAAGAAACTGCGCGGAATGTAATGCAAATAAAAACAACCCTCCAAAGATTAAACATATATGGGAACCAGCAACTTTTCCATTTGAGCGTATACATATTGATTTTGCGGGCCCCTTTAAGGGCCATAATTTCTTAATACTAGTCGATGCTTACACCAAGTGGCCTGAAGTACATATTGTAAATAACATCACTACCGAAACTACAATAAAAAAATGTTGGGAGATTTTTTCAAGGTTTGGGCTCCCAGTGCAACTGGTATCAGACAATGGCCGTACTTTCGTATCAACAGAATTCCAAAAATTTTTACAACAAAACGGCATTAAACATAAATTGACTGCACCATACAACCCAGCTACAAATGGGCAAGCTGAACGTTTTATACAAACCTTGAAGAAGTCTCTCCGAAGCATCGACACACAAAAACTAGATCTAAACACAGCGTTACAGCGCATTCTTATGCAATATCGTATCACACCTCATTGTACAACAGAAATTTCATCCGCGGAACTTATGTTCAATAGAAAAGTAAGATGTTCATTAGATATAATGAAACCTACAGTGAAATCACATCACAAAGAGATCAAAATGAGAAGTACAGACAATTTAATGAGGGAGAGAGAGTGAGTTGCCGAAACTATCGTTTAGGAGATAAATGGATTTTCGGTAGAATAAAGAAGCGTTTAGGGAAATTACACTATTTAATACAAATGGATGATGATCGAATTTGGAAACGTCATGTCAACCAAATACGACTGATTGGAGAACACACCCCAACACGCATTAGTTATAATGACGAAAATGATAAATACGCGAACTATAATTCAGAAGAACAGTATAGAGAGGTACTGGAAAGACAGCAGGAAATAGAGAGACCCGTTAACTCACCGCAACTACGTAGATCTCAAAGATCAAGAGCACCTCCACAGAGATACGGAGATTACCATACATACTAAACATGTTAACTTAGAAGTTGTTTCAAATTTTGTTTTGTCCCTTCCCTCCATGGGTACTTCCTCTTAAAAGGAAGGGAGGTGTTGTCATAAGATTATATATATTGCGCGCCTTGCTTAGGAAGCGACATCTGTCGGGAAGCGGAACGACTCCTTTCTTTCTTCCATATTGTTTTCGCCTTCGTTTCCGTTTTCCCCCTCCTCCGTGACGCACGTATATAGAGAGTGCAGGACGACTGCACTCGTGTTTATTGCTTTACGCTGTTCGGTTGTAGTGGGACTACACATATTTTTGTAAGCCTAAATAAAGTGGTATTATTTAATAGTCATATACCCTTTTAGTAGTTATTGTGAACAACAACCTGCCTCCGCTCGTGTACGCGACATAACATAAACACAATACAAGATCTTAGTTTTTAAATTTAATTATCTCAGATGTGACTGTGCGCCGAAACATTCCAACATTTACCACAATCACTGACATGTTAATAAATTGAATACAATAAGGCGCCGAAAAATTTTCGGACAATCCTACGTATGAAAATAATCCCC